ATAAACCCGATGCGGGCGCGCCGCACAGGGTGCATAAACCACCCTCGCTGCAGAATTGGAGGGGTGGCGAACCACTCCCCGTGATATAAGTTAATTTCATAAACATTTTATTTATAACTTATTATTTCTATAGCTAAATAAGTATTAACCACTTATTTTTAATTATAACTATTTATTAATACTAGGCATGTCTTTATACGGCAAGTGTTACTTATGTTTTTTTAAATTAGGTTTCATTACTTAGATCAGCGTTATTTATCAATTAATTTAACAGTTTCAATAGGTCAAAAGATGTTATATTGACGCTTAACTTTTAATAGACTTCAACGACTTAGTTAAAGCTTATTTAAAATCTTAAACATTTACCCGCTAACTAATTTAATATTTCTTTCTCAATATTTGAAACGCAATTAATTATTTCTTTCTCAATATTTGAAACGCAATTAATTTTCTTTGGTTTTTACATTTCGCTTATATTTTTATAGTCGTTAGGTTTATTTCTGTAAATTTCGGGATTTATAAGATATTAACGTTTTTTGATTTTTATATAAAATATAATATCTTTTAACACCTATTAGTATATACTATCTCGATAAAGTTTGCTGTATAACTACGTTTATTTTATAAAGGTTAAAACTAAGGTTTATTCATGAAAGCTTTTAAAACCTTAGCGTTAAGCTAATTATATAAAGGTAAGTAAATGACTTAATAGTCGTGGTTATTTATAATACATAATGTATAATTATAACGTGTTTAATGGTTTAAATAACTACTACTAATTAATAAGCAACAATCAGTTTAAGGATGTTAAAGTAACTAGATTAAGCTATCCTTTAGATCGAATATCTGGAGGACTATCTAGTAGCTACCTGGTATTTACGTGCTTTCTGGTAGGCAATGATTCATCGGATTTAGAAGAGAAGTTGTTGATTTAAAGCTGTCCCTTGGATCGAAGATCCAGAGGATCTATTTACTAGCTAAGCTATTGCTCTTGCTTTTTCCTCCCTTGCACTTTCCTCCGGGAAGGTGATCCTAGGGATCTGCGATCCCTAGGATCGTTGTGCGTCATTGCCTATCACTTTCTTTAGGGTGATCTTAAGGACTTATAATGCTTAGGATTATAGTTGCTTGTTAATAAGCTATATACGTATATATAGTTAAGCACATATAGCTAAGCATAAAAATATAAATATAAATATAAATATAAAACATAATAAACTAAAAGCTAAGTCTTTATTATATAACTTAATTATTAAAAACTAGTAGATAACAATTAGATTAATTGTTTAAAAGAAGTTGAAGTTGTTAAATTAAGCTATTTTTAGATCGAAAATCGATGTAGAAAATCTATTTAGTAGCAATCTAACTAGCGCTTTCTCCGGTGTGATCCTAAAGATCTACGGTCTTTAGGATTGTGGTTGCTTCGTAAAAACTTACTAATATATAAAGTTATTTTTAAACCAATAACATAGTGTAGCTTTAAAAAGCTTTTATAACATATTGTTTAATAGTTAATAAGAAATATATAAAATTTAAAAGATATTTACCAGCTTAGTAAAGCTATAAAAAAAAAAGCGATCTAAAAGATCGCACTTTCGAGGGTGGTCCTAGGGATTTATGACCCCTGGTGATACACGCATGCAAAGAGGGGGCCTCTGGATGCAGACGCTTAGGTAAATAAACGGTAAGTTAAATAAGGCGATAAAGGAGTAGCATTAGGTTACTGGCTGCAGCGCCAGGCTATAGCCTTCCCTTCTCCCTTCCTTCATCTCCGAATATCACCACTTTTGTTACACACCCCATTATATTTGCATCACCTGGGATCCGGGAGCTGGCTAACGGGTATGCTGGACGGGTACTTCCCCATGTCGATTACCTTTCCCATCGCATGACAACGAGATCGATGGCCCTTACCTACTGGTACACATGGTGACATCTCCAATCTCTGTCACGGGCTTGGTGTACGGATCGATACTTTCACGAACCAGTGTTCTCTGCTCGAAAGCATAGGCCATCCCAATCAATTTTTCCTCCGCGAAGTGATCGCCCAGGAACGCCAGCCCAAACGGTATGTTGGGTGCCACGGCTACCAGGTTGCCGCGTGAGTTCCGCGCGACAGTCGTGTTGTCGGGGTATCTCCCCATGGGGACAGTGACAATCGGCGACCCAATGATCGCGGGAAGATGGGACGAGAAAGCTGTCGGTGTCACCAAGGCATCCAGAGATAAGTTGCGTATAGCTCCGGTAAGACCGGTCAGCCCGCCGTAGTACTGGTTGGCCGTGTAGTTTGACCACGCCTGGGGGTTTAGGTTGTCGAATCCCAGATCAAGCGCTTCCTGCCAGACATCCGTGTCCCTGGAAGGCCACTGCTCCCGTGGGAAGTCATGGGTGAAATCCTGCAAGCTATCGAGGCCGGTGATATTATGCGGGTTTACCACCAGCTCACCGAAGTAAGTCGCCAGGTTCGAAACGAAGTCGGCGTTCAGCACCACCGTTTCGAAGTCCGTCTCGGTCAACGTGTCGATGCCTTCGAGGTGGATGTCGTCGAAAACGGTCGCGCCCGCTGCACGGAGTACATTCAGCGATGCATTGAAGGCGGCTATTACCGGGTCGTACTGGGTGCCGCCCCCGCTGACGCCAAGGAGGTCTCTGGCTACGCCGATTCGCTTGCCACGCAGGGCAAAATAGTTACAGGCGCCGGCGTAGTCAGGGGTACTATTGCCGAAGGGGATGGCCATGGTGTAGTTGTCACGGGGATCTTGCCCGGCAATGGCTGATAAAAGGTATGCCGCATCTTTCACCGTTCTAGCAATGGGGCCGACAGTGTCCTGGTGCTCGGAGATGGGCACGACGAGATATCGAGACGTCAGACCCACGGTGGGCTTGATGCCCACGACGTTGTTCAGCTCGCTGGGGGAGACGATGGAGCCATCCGTTTCGGTCCCCAATGCGGCAAAGGCCAGGCCCAGGGATGAGGCGACCGCGCTCCCAGAAGAGGAGCCGGAGGGATCCTGCTGGGGATAGTAGGCGCCCTGTCGAGGCTCAGAACGAGGTCAGGCTTACTCAGGCAGAGCAGCATGAGAGGGGGGCAGGTGACCGGGTTGGTGAGCGTACTGACCTCGGTTTGGCCTCCGTAGGCAGACCAGCCATTGCTACTGTTGAAGCTCCGATAGTTGGCCCATTGCGAGAGATTTGCCTTGCCCAGGATGACAGCGCCGGCCTTACGCAGTCTGGCGGCCACAGTGCTGTCACGGGGCACCTGTGCTCCGAGCAGGGCGTAGGACCCGGCGGTGTTGGACATCTTGTCGGCGGTGGCGATGTTGTTTTTGAGGAGTACCGGGAGGCCATGGAGCGGACCAGACACATTTCCCCGTGCTCTGGCCGCGTCAGACTCGGCCGCGATATGCAACGCATCCGGGTTCAGCTCCGTCACCGTTCTCACTACACGCGGCATGCTGTCAGCGCTCGGGCGAGCATATACGCACAGACGAGCGAGCGAAATCACCTACGTGTTTCGTTGACTTCCCGAATCCTGGCAGCGTAGGCGTGGACGAGGTCAACACTCGTAAAGCAGCCCATCTCCAAGCCCGTGACCAGATCCTCCAGCGACGCATCCAACAGCGGAGGGAGGCGCCGACCGAGACAAGCCGTCGAGCCGCGGGCACCCAGCCCAAGCCAGGGCGTTGCGAATGCCAGCAAACAGACCGCCTTCATCGTGCTCTCCTCTGCTGATGTTCGAGAAGGGGTATGCGCAAGCCGGCTTGGTAGAATACGGACGACCGCAAGCCCGGCCAAGCAGGTAAGATCATGTTTCCGGTATCGCAGACAAATGCGGGGTGACGTTCATGACGCCGTCATTCTCGACACAACCTTGAAGCATTGCTTCTGCACCTGCCGTTCTAGGCGAACAGCCGTCGCATGGACGCAGCCTGGGTAGGGTCGGTAACAGCCCCAAGAGCGGTGTATGCAATTCCAAGGAATAAAAGAACGTCGAGATAATAATTCCTAGGCCACTGATTGCAGCAGCAGCGGAGAACAAAGCCATAAAAAACGGAAGAATGTCGATCGAGTGAAGAAGGGGAGCTGGAGCTAGCAGGTAGTGAAGGGGAGCCCTAGATATGCAAACAAAACAAATAAAAAAACTGTTCCCGGCGAGGATTGAACTCGCGACCTTTGCATAACAATACTCCGCCGAGGCAGGGTAATTATAAGAGCAATATGATAACCACTACACCACGGGAACTTTGAAACTAATTGGTCGGCAATTTATGCATAACTATATATGCTTTGTTGAGGGTGTCCACGCTGCATACCAGTAAAGGCTTCACCACAGCGTTATTTATCCTTCAAGAGTCCGCGCTGGGCAGTCACGAACCATTCTCCCCCCCCTTCCCCCCTTTTTCTTTTTCTTGATGTGAGGTCTCTCAGTCATGCTTTTGCGCATGTATAGCACACCATCCTCGGACACTGTATCGTAGAGCTTTTGGTCATCAAGTATCGGTCTTGTCTCAGGGCCAACTTGCGGGTTCGGTGGTTCTATCACCGCCGATATCCGAGCCAGAACTGCCTGCCACTTTACGTACGTAAGGTAGAGGGACAGAGCTTACTCGGCAATGGCACATGGAGGTGGCGCGGCATGTAAGCCCAACCTCATCTCCTTGTGCTCGGCATTGGTAATCTCCTTGTCCTCGGCATTGGTAATAGCCATTGCTCCTGGTCCTGCTACTCCTTCCGTTGCCAGTAAAACGAGATTTCGGTATCGTCTCACCAGACTGACTTTACGCAGCCATCCAGCGCAGAACAGCCGGAGCAGAAGCTACTCCGTCATTGCCAGCAGAAGTGGGAAAGGAACAATGGCAGGCCACATCCACCGAGTCACCATGTTCAAGATCCCCGACGCCGAAACCCAGGCACAGCTGATCGAGGCCTACAAAGTTTTGGCCCAGGACCAAAGCAAGGTGCGCTGCGATGCCACGGGGCAAGTTCGAAACCCTGCTGACGAAGGCTTGACCACCCAGGACGGCAGGCCATATATCCTGTCCATGACCGCTGGTCAAGCGATGGCGGACCAGCGAGCTCAGGACTGGACGGTGGTCGCCAAGATGGAATTCGCCAGCTTGGAGGACATGCGCTTCTACGACGACGACTGCGAAGCACACAAGAGAGTCAAGGGCAAAGCGCAGAACATGGGTATTGTGGGTGGTCGCGAGGGGGTCTTGACGGTTTACTATGAAGTTGGTGCCCGGCTCTGACGTTGCTTAGCCTCTGCGGCGAAGGTCATGTAAGGATTGCTCCCACCAGCCCGATGCGTTGAGTGGGGTGGGATGCGCAGGTCCTGGGATTCAACCCGTGTATTCCAAGCTGTCCTTATAATGTCGCACATAGCAACCGGCTTATAGCACAGGCCCGTGTCCTCGTCGTCCACGCCCACCCTTCGCCCTCCATGTCTACCTGAATTTCTTGGCGGCCTCGCTGAAGCTCATGCCCTTCTTGATCTCAACCGCCATTTTTGCGTCGGCTTCGACCTGTTTCTTCATCAAGGGCAGCGCTGACTCGGCCAGTTCCACCGGCACTGGAAGTCCGCCGTCAGCAAAACTACACGGAGCCGTATCCGACGGGGCCGAGACAACCGCCCATATGCGGCGGCGAGGGGCGAGGTCGAGGAGCCCATGTGACCACCGGCACCTAAAGGGTTACATATAGAAACCGAGGTCGACTTACATACAACCACGCCGTTCAGGTCGGCTACGAGGTAGTCGCCGGGCCGAATAGTCATATCTTGGTCCTCGGTCTGCAGCTTGACCGGCACGTTGACGGCAGCGACCTTGAGCAGCTCGGCTGGACTGGTAGTGCCGACATCACGAGCGAAGACCTTGGAAGCTTGAGTATTGAAGTGAAGGGCAAGTAAGCCAAAAGGATGGCGAAGTAAGGAACTCACAGGATATCGCAGCTCGCGCTGCTCTTCGAGATCGCGGAAGCGACCGTCAATGATGGAGCCCACGGCGCCGCTGGCCTGGGCGCGCATGGACATGAGGCCACCGTAGACGGCATTGGGGACCCTTGGGGCAGAGACGAAGACGACGGCGCCGGGCGGCACCGAGTCAATCTGAAGCCACGACTGGTCAGGAACGGCGCGGCAAGGGGCCGACTGCGAGGGCTTGACGCACGTAGTGGGTTGGGTACTTGGGCGCCGGGTCAGCCAAGGGCACGTATTTGACGGTATAGGCAGGGCCGATGATCTTGGTTGGCCCGGCTTGGCGTTCGGGAGACCACATAGACAGGCCGGACAAGAAGCCGCCGTTGCGATACTTCAGCTTGCAAAGAGCATCGGCGACATCACACCTGTGGGCCTACAGATCAGAAACAGGAGAGCTGGAAAGGGCAGTCCGGCGGGGAGGAGTACGTGGTGTAGTCCTGGAGGGCCTTGACGATGTCCGAGTCGTGAGGCTTGGCCATGTTGGAGAGATGCCAATGGTGCTAATGGTGTTAATGGTGTTAATGGTCGCGTTGGGGATGCTACTGGCAGATTTCCAGTGGGTTTCGCATGTGCCAATGTCCCCGGGGGTTCGTGGGGCGACAATCGTCCTCGGGAAGTCAGGTAAGTTAGGTGTGTGTGCGTGCGCACCTTGATATCCAAGGTGAAAAGAAAAAGGCTTGCCTTTCGTCCGAACAGGAGCCGGCCTCCTCCTCCTCCTCCTCCTCAGACCTGGGCGAGGTATACGCGCGCGAGAGAGATAAGGTAGAGAGACTGGATTGGACTTGTGCATGTGATATGCACGTGCGAGCTCGAATGTATATTAAGATACTTTATGCACATCTCGACAAGTACCCGACATGAAGTGTTCACCCTTTACAAGCATACCGGGTAGGTACCTAAGAAGCGGCGGCCTTCGACGCGGCAGCCTCCTTCAGGCCGCTCACCCACAGCTTGTATCCGCGGACGAGCTTGGCTCCGACGAGCGTCTTGACAAGCCACGAGACGGGACCGTAGAAGGTCTCGTAGCAGGAGTAGGCGGTGTTGCCGTCGGCGTCGCGGACGAACTCCTGGGTGCGCTCGGCGCGCATGTACCAGGCGTCGCCGCGCGTCTTCCACGCGACCCGGACCCCGCTGCGGCCGTCGCGGTCCTGGTAGCCGCGGTCCAGCACGGTCAGCACCAGGCCGGTGGTGTTGTAGCCGGCGCTGTCCGGGTCCATGTGCACCTGGAAGTCGAACTCGGAGCCGAGGCGCAGCAGGCCCGGCTCGGACGAGTGCACGACCACCTTTTGCACCCACCGGTTCCACGAAGGGTAGTTCGCCGCGTCCAGCACCACCTCGACGCACGCTTCGGGCGGTGCTGCGATCGTGGCCGCGCAGGCTAGCGTAGCCGACCCTCCCTCCCCGAGAGTGGGCTGGGCCTTGACCGCCGTCCACCGGGGCTCCTGTTCCCGTTCCCGCTCCCGTTCCTGCTCCCGTTCCTGCTGGGCCATCGCGACGACAGTCTCTTGCCCGGGCTTTGGCTCTCGGTCTTGGGTTTGGGTTGAGTGGAGGGTGGTTGGTTTGGAGGGTATTACGGTAAGGTGATTTTATGTGTTGAGTTGAGTTGAGTTGAGTTGAAACGGCGGCAGGTCATGGTGGCTTTCCAACCTGGCCGGACGGACTTCCTTATTGCCAAGCCCAGCAGCCGATGTTTACTGTTCGCAAAACCCTCTGGCAGCAATCAGCAGCGCTAAGGTAAGCAAACCCTGCCACGGTGCCACCCCCGTCCCTCGCATCACCGTCCCGTGTCAACTTGGTGGCAAAACGCTCAGCCGCACGTAGTAAGACATAGAGCATTACCTTGCTCGTGGCAGCATTGACTCCGAATCTACCGACCAACCGACCGCCTGTCCGGTACAGATACGCGATTTGGCCAGCATCAGCCGAAGCATGATCTGACAGCTGCCTTTGGTAGCACACCTGACCTCCAAGGCCATCGTTCTTCTTGTGCGTCGATCTGTGACGCCAAGCTCGTGTTTGACCAGCAAGCAAACATTGCCACGGCCCGGTACCAGAGCAACGAGACCAGGCCCACGTTGTACACGGCCAGTCATACCGGCACAAGACATGTCTGTCGTTGAATCTCCCTGTTTCGGCGTAGGTATATCATCTCTGATTCGGAGTCTCGTACCTGCTCGCTCCTAGCTCGCTCCTAGTCCGAGTGACCCTCACCACCCGGCCTTGTTCGGGCTCGGTGCCTACCTAACCTGGACAGGTACCAGGGGAAATGAAAAGATCGAGGACAATGCCAACAAGCGGTGGAAGCGCACGACGAGACCTGGCTCCAATCAAGCAGAGGGCCATTATCAATTTGATATTCAAGAATATATAGGCCGCCTATGTAAGGACAGGGGAAAGCGCCGACCTGCTGATGCCGATAGGGGCATAGAAGCCCCAAGCATGCTATGTAAAATCTGCCGTGTGCATACGGTAATTTTGCAGGCCACGACGTCGATGCTATGCGCCCCTCCCGGGGGGTCCTTTCGGATCCTGTGGCCCGCCTATCGCTACCGAGTCTTAGTGCCGCCTGGCGAACTCATCCAACTCCGTCTCGCTCTGGCCGTCCAGCCCAAAGACCTCCTTGGCCTGCGGAGCCGTGGGCATGGGCGGCGGGTGTTTCTCGTACGCCAGGCAGCTGGTCACCACCCCGACCGCCGCCACCCCGATCATCACCCTGATATTATCAGCGAAGGCCGACGCGTATACCGACTTGACCAGGAGCTGTATGTCGCCCGGCAGCCAGGGCGCGATCGTGGGGCTGTGATGGAGGGCTTGCAAGTCCTCCGGGTCCATTCGACCATGCAGGCCGCTCGCCACCCTCGCGTTGAACACGATGCTGCAGATGGCGATTCCAATGCTGCCCCCGAGCACTCTCGACTGCGCTACGGCCCCCTGCGCCACTGCCAGGTCCGACTGCCGGGCCTGGACCGAGGCCATGATCGTAGCCGCGCCTAGCGAGAGGCCGATGCCAAGGCCCAGTATCACCTGAAAGCCGTACTGGGCTTTGATCCCGGTGTTGACGCCACTCAGGGTCGATAGAAGCCCCACGCCGATGATCTGCAGGCAATGCGCCGCTACCAAGGTCCACGACGTGTTGTTGCGCCTGCGGGAGACGGCACCGGCAAAGAAGGCTCCGAGGGACGTGGCTCCCAGCATGGGAAGCAGATGAACACCCGAGAGTAGAGCATTATCTCCATTCACGATCTGGAAGCGCTCTGGGAGAATTA